AATTGTTAGAAAGAATAGCAAAATCAGCAGCAAAGAAAAACAGATTAAACAGTTGGCAATTGCTCACTTGTGTTATGTTAAAACAAATTAAATTCAGAGTTAAGCTACCATTGAAATATGCTATTTGCTAAATAGTTTTGGGCAAATAAATCAAGAGAAAAGAAAGAAATATTGGTTTCAGAGTTTTTCTATTCTTCTTGGAACGTTTTTGCTATTAACATCATTACTATAAGATGTTTCATTCTGAGCCAGATAATGTTATTTATATCAACATTCTGGGAATATAGAGGTTTTCTTTACAGAATCAAACTATTGCCCACCTAGTCCAATTTCTGATGGTTTGAGGATGTAGCAGGCTTTGCACAGGATGTAAAAGGACATACTTCAAAAGTAGATGGGAACAGGATATGAAGAATGATGGAGACTTTCTGTATTTTAAGGGATAGATTGATTTTTTAAAATGCCATCAAGTTATTATCAATTTTAGTCACCACACAGGCAGATTTTCTCCATGGTGATCTGTCACTAACCGTTCAGGTCTTCCAATGGTAGACTCATTGTTGCTGTAACTAAGTCTATCATTCTTGTTTTGTTGGTCATCCACTTTCTTTCCCAGCATTAAAGTCTTCTGGGGAGCTATGTCTTTGGCATATGTCCAAAGTAGGTTAATTTAAACCTGCTCATTTTTGTCTTGAGTGAGAACTCTGGATTGATTTATTCTATCATTCTTGGTTGTCCTTTTACACCACGTAGGATTTGAGGAAGAGGAGGGGAGTTAAAGGATAAAATGGGCATCTTACATTTCTGCAAAACTTGTATTTTATTCTTAAAACCTCACAAAGATTTGCCCCAATATATAAAATTAAGGTGATAGTAAGGGTCTTAGAGATTTTCAATAACAGATGTATGTAGTGATTTTTGTATTTCTGATCTAACCAGTATTGTTAACAGTGGCAGCAGTTCTCCATAGTAGGAAATGCCAGAATTCTGCATGCAATACATGTGTTCTCATCCTGGCACTTGTTATATTGATAAGAGTTATATTCTCATAATATTAAACAGTGCCATGACTTGGAATTTCACAAATATTAATATTATTATATATGATTTTATGTGAAATAAATACACTTAAAATAAAAATACACAGAACAAATGACCCAAGTAAAATGAATTCTAAAGAATAAACTAATTTATTGCAGAAAATAATTTAACTTGCTTTGGTTCATGCAAACATGAATTGAAAACACACTTCCTATCTGGAGGCAAATGGTAACTTGGGGATAAGAAGAATGACTATATTCCAAACCTAACTTTCATGTATTAAATTAGTGAAGCATTATCTTGAAGCAGTTATCTTAAGATTGAAAAGAATAGATCTGTTCTGTTGTTTAGTTTCCAAATTCAAATATTACATGTAGCAAGATGCACAGATGTAAGTAAGCTGTGCATAGGTGCTCAGTTTGTAATCCTCAATTGGAAATGACAACCCAACTAGGCAACAAAAACTTAAAACATTTTAATATAGGATTTATTATTTAAGCAACTGTTTTTATAGCAGCAAGGAAAAAAGAAATATGACCTATTTTTTCTGCATTAAATGTTCTTTAAGTCTACATAAACCAGTCCAACTTGATATTCAACTAGTTTTTGTATCAATCTTGTCTAGCATCAAATTTCTGTCTCATGGTTTGTATGATGCTTTGTGTCTCAATTTTCTGTTAAAATATAAACAACTATAGCAAACATTAAAGTGACATGAGTAAATGCAAGGATATCCATGATGAAAACCTTATGTGACCTCAATTAATAAGACTTCTTCATGCAATGTGTTTAAAAGGGATGCTTAAGCCTTGCTGATTTATTGTTTGAACTAGGGCTAAAGGCTTTAATTTACGTTTCCCTATTTTGTTTTAATTACACAGTTCTTATATCCATATATGTATACCTGTAAAAGTATGTGAGAATGACTTTGGGAGAAAGAGAGAAAAGACCAGTTCAATTTTTTTAAATATTGAGAAATGATACTGCAGTTGTTCCTTCAAACAGGTAGCCAATGCATCAGAGAAGTAATATTTTTAGCTTAGTATCTTTCGAACACAATGTCTTCATTGTGGAAGCAATGCAATATAAAGTGGTTTTGGTGCTGTGAAATTGTGTATTTTCAAAGCAAAAGCATTTACAGAAAGTAAAATATCCAAAATGTCTTCAGTAAATTCACCTGCTACATATTTTCTACCTTCATAGCAGAATCTATATTATAAACCTCAGTTAGTAACAGCACAAAACTACCAATAAGATATATGAATTCATCAATCCATTAATTTGTAATGCAAGTTAAAGTTTGATTTAACTTTTAAATAAAAACGCTTAAATAACAAAATTATATAATATTAAATCTGCTCCTCAAAAGTTGCATTTGTGGGCTTCTGTACATAGTATTTCAAGAGATGAGGCCATAATTATAGGCATATTCAACAGCTATGGGTTACAATCACAATTATAGTGTGAAAAACAGCATTAAAATAATTTATATATAGTTCTCCATTAACATACATGTAATTTTAAGCAAGTCATATTAGTTTTCTTGGCATTTACATGAGGGAAGGGTGCTTAAGATTGTGGGCACCACCAACATTATCTATGAATCAGGTTATAATACAGATGTATAATTTTATTAAGTGCTTTGTAATTCTTTGTATTCTTAGTGAGATGCCATTCAGCTTAGCTCTTGAAAAACCTGTAGTACCTTTTTACTTCATTTAGTTTTATGGACTTAATATGACTACCCAATCTGAGCGTTGAAACTCAGGTAGTTAACAACAAAGCAAAGAAAAACAAACAAAAACTTTTTTTAATGGAGAACTTTAATGGAGAGCGTGAATCTTTTATGAAGGTTATTCCATATAATCTTTTTTGTACACAGAACTGCCCATTTTGCAAAGCTTATCAAGATATAGTTACTCCTTGACTTATGACCGCAATTGAGCCCCAAATTTGTGCTGCTAAACAATTGTTAAGTGAATTTGTCTCATGACTTTTCTTGCCATAATTGTTAAGTAAATAACTGCAATTGTTAAGTTAGTAACATAATTAAGAGATTCTCCCTTCATCATTGACTTTGCTGTCAGAAAGTCACAAAAGTTGATTACAGGACCCTGCGACACTGCAATCAAATATATGCCAGTTGCCAAGGGTCCAAATTTTGATCATGTGGCCATGGAAAAATGATAACACTGTTGTAACTTTAAATGGTCACTAAAAGAATAGTTATAACTCAAAGACTATTTGTAGAAGCAAATTAACATTTTGCTCTGTGGATATGTTACACTTAAGCTGTTGAAAATATCCAAGTAATTTTAACTTATGATACATATTGTTGTTTATACTTTATTATAGTTATTTTATGTAAACATTGTGTCAATATGAGATTTTTATTATCAAGTGCATTGGATTTTTTTCAGCTGGTCTCCTAGATCTTGCAGAAGAGGCATGCTCTAGATCTTATGCACTGCAGTATTATTCGATGGAACCCAGGAATTGTGGTGCCCATCATCTGGAATATTATCCCCCAGATTAAATTTGCTGCAATCCTGAGGCATTTCGTAAGGTCTTGAAGACATAGTCTTGTTACTAAGCCTGGGACCCAAGTGTATGATTGTATTAATTGTTGTTGGTTTTTATCTCAGTTGCTAAATATATTATTAGTTTGTGTTTTTATCTTATATATAAACATTGATTGCTCTCCAAAGATATGTAAATAAAAAGGATCTGGTAGATAAACTTTGCTTTATAGCATAACAGCTTTTCATTTTTTAAAAAGATCAGAAACAAATGTAAAGTCATTCAAGGCTCTTGTAAGGCATGACTATGCCCTTGACTTATATGAACTATTAAGTAGATTATTACAGAAACATCCATAGGATATTTCTAAAATTAAAGGCAAGTCAATGAATAATATAACAAAAAGACGGAAAAAGCATTTTCAGTGGCAGCTAATCATTATTCTAAGGGTTTGCCAAAAAAAACATATCCAAGTCCCCCAACAACCCCCCAAAATAGGGGAACAAAGCAGGGGAACTAATTTGCCAGAATTCTCCTTAGTATTTTTTAAGCTCCAGGTTTCACTTTTATTCTAAAAGGTCAGTGGGTCTAATACAGGGGTCTTCAAACTTGACAGTTTTAAGACTTGTGGACTTCAACTCCCTGAATTCCTCTTCCAATCATGTTAGCTCAGGAATTCTGGGAGCTGAAGTCCACAAGTCTTAAAACTGTCAAGCTTGAAGACCCTTGGTCTAAGAAATACTTAAAATTCTGAAGATCAAACACCACTTTCAGTTGCAGTCCTCCCCTCTCCCCAGGAAGACATCAATACAAAACTATTTACTTGACACTAAAGAACTCGAGGTTCCCTCTTGATCCCTTTTGTAGGCTTGAAAGGCTACCTAGAATCCTAAGTTACCAGAGCAGAATCTGACCAGGAGAGGACAACTAGGGGATGTCCAATTCCTTCTAGATAATCCTTTGGGGTTTATTTGTTTGAATAATTCCACACTTGGCATTTCGTTTCCAAAGGCAGAGAGCACTTGAGTTGCCACGGTGAGCCGATTAGCTGCTCCCTTCTTTCCGTAACATTCACTTTCCTCCCCCTCATCCTTTACCCAAATAACTTCCCTAGGATATTATTTTTAGCCTGTGTAGTAATGCTTGAGAACCACGGACATTAAGAACCCTTTTTATGAGGTAGTTCTCGGGCGCGCCGTTTCTTTTTTGATCGAATTTTCTCCCGTGTTAAGTAAGTCCAAAGAAAGACAAAGGCCAGCTGTGGAAGAATTGGCAAACGTGCTAATCCTTCTTTCCACCTCACCACAGCTGAGAACAGGAGTCCCGCGTTTACCCAACTTTTGTCAGATTTACTGTTACAAATTCTCCTCCTTAAGGCGACGCATCAAAGTTAAAAAGCGGGCAGGAGAGAACTTGGAGTTCTCTAAGCGTCAATCCAAATCAAGCCCGCGGCTGTAAATGAGCCACGTGGAGCCTTCGCTCTAGCGGTGACTTCCTGCTTAGCTCCGCCGACAAGGTGGCTGAAAGATTAGCAAGGAAAGCAGAAGGAAGGAAAGACACAGAACATTCAAAGAGAACTAGGGAGGGGAAAAAAAAACAAACAGGCAGGGAGTATTAGAGAAGAGGAGCCAAAAAAAAAAAAAGTTTGCGATTTGACAGGGAGGGAGCGGGCGAGCTGCAAGAGGCCAGGAAGGAGAGGCGGTAACAAATTGGAGAAGATTGAGGAAGGCCGAGAGAGGAGGAGAAGCGAAGCTGCAGGGGAGGCGAACGAGAGCAAAGCGGGGCTCGGCGCCAGGCGCCTGCCTGTGTGGGGAAAGAGAGGCAGGAGCAGCAGCAGCGAAGGAGGAGGGAAGGGGAAACACGCAAAGCTCGGCGCACGAGTGAAGAGCAGCAGTCGCCGGGAGAGGGGGCGAGAGCGGGATCCCGGTGGCGGCGGCGGCGGCGGCTGGGGGAGCCGGTATCGCCGACGCTGAAGATGCGGCTAAAACTGGGATTCCTCTTGCGCGCCATCCTCCTGGTCGGTTCCTTCCTGGGGCTGCTGCTGCTCTGGTCTTCGCTTTCCCCCCGGGCCGAAGAGCCAAGCCCGGGGGAAAGGGTTCGGGTAAGTGGCTACGCCAAAGGGAAGGGGGGTGTGCCTGCGCGGGGAAAAGGTGGAGTACGGCTCCGCGCACCGGCCGACGGCCCTCTCCCGCCGGCTGCCTGGGTGTCGGGCCGAACCCCTCTTTCGATCCGGGTCCGGCCGAGAGGGGGCGGTGGCGGCGGCGGCGGCGGCTTTGGCTGGTGTTCGTTCTGTTGCCCAGGCTGCGGCCTGTGGCGTTGGCGAGGCCTGCGGAAGGACAGTGGCGGCTTGGGGCTGGGGGCTCCCTTTGCCATGGGGTGGCGGTGGCCTCCCAGCAGTGGCAACGGGCGGGCGGCGTTTGTTGAGGCAGCCGGACATTGCCTGCTTAAATGCTTTTTTGCTGATGTTATATGAAGCGGGACTTGGCCCTTAGCAACCTACTAGTATGTGCGGAGGGTTGGAAAGGCTGTGGAAAAGCCGTTAAGTAATATTGTAGTTTGAAGGGCAGGTGTAAGAGGTCTCTTACATCAGATTGTGGGAAGAAGTGATATGCTGTAAGACAGAATCTTCTGACAGGTGCTTCTATCTGAAACAATGAGACAGAGAGTCATTAAAAAAAATTCTCTTTTTTTTTAGCATTTCTGAATATCTTCCTATAGAAAGATACATGCAGTTTAATAATTAGTATCCTTTGGAAGCTATTTTTGATCCGTGGGAATGTGCTGGAAATATAATGGAATATTTCTGTCTTTAGCAGTTTATTTTTCATCTTTAAGGTGTTAATTTAATATTTCCTTCCTATTATCTCTCCCCAAATCATATTTAGTTAATCATCACTTGATTTTTTTTAGGGTTAAAGATGGACATGAACCTGAATCTCCCTATCTCAACCCAGAGCAAAAATTAAAATGTAATCTGAAAAGAAAACCTTACCCAGCGGGCTTTGCATTGTATTTCATTTAAAGAGTCAACCTACTTCCATGGGTACTCTTACCATACCTAGAACTTGTAGTCCAGCAGGTGGTGCATTTGTGTGCTGCCTTGCACACTTGTAGCCCAATGCTATGCTCTTGAGTTCACCCGAACTTACTTCTAAAAAAAACAATACATGTAGATGTTTAAACTTCAGAAATAAATTATGTGAATGTCAGAGTGTCTGCTTCTTTGTTTGTTTACTTAATCCTGCTTCTTTGAGTCCTGAAAAAAAGATCTGTATTTTAAAAATCTTTTTCCAAACCAAAATAATAGTCTTACTATTAATATTTTTGATTGCTGGTAAAGGTAAAAGACATGGTTTTTAACTTTGGTACCAGTTATACTGCAACTTGGCAGATTTGATGATTTGTTCGGGTATTGTAGTTGGATAAAATCTCACTTGTGCCTTTTTGAATTAAGTAGTGCATACATACATTTTCTGCACTTCTTTAGCTGTCCTTTGTGGCTGAAACATCAGTTGTTTTTGTTTACTAGATGGTAGTCTGTTTTTTTGTAAATATAATGGCAAAGCTTTGACTGAAACATATGCAACCAGCATAATTAACACATTTAATTTCTAATGGTCTATACACTGATTGGTGTTCCATCAACCTTAGGGTTGCTTTCAGCATCGATCTTAATTTAAAACATTTATATAGCCATCCAACTTATATCAAAATCTGGGTGCTTCCCAATGATCAATTAAAACAATAATAATAAAACAATACATAAATATATTAAAATCATAAACGTAAAAATGGCACCAACGTTAAGCTTCTAACATAAATCCTTCATAAAATCCTCTTCCCCATCTCACTCACCATCTCACCCTATCCCAGTGTTTGGGGAAAAGCCAGTTTTTCAGTGCTCTTTGGGAGGCTAGGAGGGTAGAGGGGCCTGCTGAATTTCAAAAGGGAAGGTGTTTCAAGGGTAAATCTAATAATTCCAGAATTCTCTCTATCTGAAATATATTCAGATGTTTGCAGTAGAATGGTATAAATACAGATAGTCCTTGCTTAATAATCATTCATTTAGCAACCATTCAAAGAAGGGTGATGTTCAATAAATGGTGCTTAAGTCCAGTTATTGCAGCAACCCCACTGTCATGAAATCAAAATTGTGCTTTTGTAACCCACGCTTAAAATTGCCCACCTATCTTCCCCATCTCTGTGCTTTTGATTGCTTTGCACAGCAGTGCTTGTCTGCAGCAGCACTGGGTTGAAGTAAAGGCACCAGGGTGATTGGCTGAGACTGCTGAAGGCTCAGGGTTCTACTTTAGCGCAAGTGTCACTGCTGCTAAGAGTTCCATTGTGCGAGAAAGTCAAAAGGGCAGAGATGGCGGAGATAAGTGGGTGGGGGAAGTTTAAAAGGAGGCAGTCCCTTACCTTACCCAGGCTTGGGGCTGGGAATGACTTGGATCAGGTTGGGTCCTGGCCTAATGACTGATGGGGTTTGGTTAAGACAAAGACATTGCCATCGCTAACCAATGTGGTCACATGATGGCAGACTTTTATGGTCCCAATTGCTGTCATAACTTGAGATCACTCATAGCACAATTTGTTTATTTCCAGTTGAGTCTTTGGTCATTCTTTTTAAGAAGTAATTAAAATTTACATATTTCCTTGATTTAAATTAATCTGATGTCAAATTTATAATAAATACAGTGTTTCATACAGAGAACCTTCTAAAACAGGGGTGTTAGCCAAAATACCAAAGCAATTTGTGCCTAAATTATGTACATATAAAAAAGCCATTTTAAATGAACATCCAGAAGGTTAACTGCAGCATTTTGACACTATTGTATGTAAACCACAATATTTTGTGAGGCTTTTTACTTTTCGTCAGGAGTATCAAATTCCTTTTCATCAAACACTACTTAGGGCAATAAAAATGGTAAAGATGAGCTCCCATGTTAGTTAGTATGAGGAAGTGTTACTCTAAATGAGATTCTAATAAGCTTGAAAACAAGTTACAGTATATGCTGGAATTCTTAAAGAATACTCAAAATAATTTTAAACAGATTGAATTCATATTTAAACTTACAATAATGTTATACACTAAAGACAATAATGTGCTCCACAAACTTACATTTTTAAAAATCTAAAATCTTTGAATAGTAGATACTAACAATGTGCAAATTCCAAAGCCTGTACTTACCTGAGAAGTTGTACAATATTTTAATGCAATTTATCCCCAAATTAAAAAAAAATGAAGGAGATAAGTGCATATAATAAATTATTCTTTGATATTAGTTATACATACACATTCTTATTTTGTTGATATGAATACTGCTCCTCGAGAGTATTTAATGAAAAGCTGCTTCTTCAGCCACAAACAGCTTGGAGGGACAGTGTTAAATACATTTTCATATCATACATCTTAAATATGAACTTAGAGGAAAAGGCTCAATCTGTATATGCAGACTATTAAAAAAAAACTAATAGCTTACTTTATACTAATTCGGGACATGAGTCTATCCAGCAACTATTGACTAACTTGCTCGTCCAAGTGTGTTTGTTTCTTGCTTTAGTTTTAAATGTGTCAGGTTTATGACAAGTGTCCATTCATTCCTGTCACCTGGTACTTGATCTTTTTTAATTTGAAGAACAAGTAACCTAACCTGAAATCTGCATGTAAAACATGCTGAATTTCCACTGAGTCTCTTTAAAATAACATCTTTCAATTGCCCCTAAATAAGCAGTAGTCTGTGCTCTTAATGTTTTGCTTGTAAATCCATCTATTATTTGTTACTGGTGTTTTCTTTACCTGAAGGATAGTATAGGTGTAAGTAGAACTTCATGAATTTTCAATCCCAAAATAGCATGTGCATCAATTTCTAGAGAAAATTACATAGAGTTAAATATTCTAGGCCATTGTGCTTTTTGTCCTCTTTTGTACTACGGTAATTTGGCCATTAAAAGTAATTGGATCATTTATCATTTGAAAAAGTGTCACAACACTTTAATGGAACTAATGGCATAAAAGAAAAATAAGATTCTGACAAAAACAATTGCATCTATTTTTATAAAAATCAAACATTGTGGGCTGGACTTCAAAGATATTACAGGTATTGTGATTTGGGGTGATCTTTTGTGCTATCTTCATTAGGTGAAATATGCTGAGGGAACAAATAGTGGAAATCAAAGCTTGAATTGCTATAATGTAGCATAGTCTTCTGCTTTGCCTAATTTATGGTACTACCTTCACCCCCACCCACCCCAGTAAAACATGAGCATTCTAAAAGACATAGTTTGATGATGCTACAGAAAAACTTTTGGATTTTTTTTCAATAATCATAGCTTCAATTCCAAGAAAAAGAATATAGCTAGACATTGTGTTTAAATAAGCATTCAGTACAGTATGTTTTCTAAAAGTAAATGTTTGGCAATGAACTATCTGCTTTTGGGGCAGTGTGCCATGAAATTAGTTAACAAGTAGTTCACTGAAAAAAAAAAACATCTTCACCAATTGTGTTCAATCAACACGATCAACAACATCGATTGTGATACATGAGAGGTTCAGTTCCAGTTCTCCTGGGGATAATTTCTGTTGTATAAAGAATATAAGAGCAGTCTCCAAAAAGGCCACAAATCACAGCTTTTCAATATTAAAGAGCTTGTGAAATCCTGAAACAATGAGTATTGCAAAAGTCCTTCTAAATTTATGTTGGCAGAGTCCCTATGGGACCAGGCCAAAGAAATGTTCATGCTTAACAATTGTGTGAATTTTATAGTGCAACATTTTGCTGTATTTAGAATCTATATAAAACCAATCTGATTTTATTATTCCAAATGAACAGAGTAACTGTCCATTATGACCAGCTTTTGTAGGATCTGGATTCATGAAGTTCAGCAGATTATTGTTGAAAAAGCAAAAAAAATGTTTTTTATAAATTCAAAAATATGTTACTAATCTATATATATAAAAGCGAAATACCACTCATGCATCATCACAAAATCTCCAGAACCGTAAAGCCTACAAACATGAAATTTCCTCTTGGCTTCTAGGTGCTCACTAAGAAATGATTTTTTGAAATGACCATCAGACCATTACTATTTTGTACATTA